GCAAATTAAAAAGAAGAATTATTAAATTTTTTTTTTTTATTTTGCAAGAGCAGCTGGATATTGCACATTTTCATTAGCCACCTTCAGAATTTTTATATGAAGTTGCTTATACTAATTTGAAGTAATTTTGTTATTTGTTTCATGGAATTTCTAAATTCTTTTAGTCTTTTGGTGAGCTATGTTCTCTACCATTTTTGCAAGACAGTAATTTTCTTCTGATGTGTCCAAATCCATCTCAAGGAATATTAGCGGAAAATTTCTTATAAATTCACGTGCTGGATTTTAGGGTTATATTTTAGAAATGATTCTCCAAATGTATTTTAATGAGGAACCTGAAGATCCTTGTTAGCTCACTTGCTTTTTCCTTCCTTTCGCATTCTGCAGCAATCTCAAGGCAGGGACGAAAGGCCAGTCTTCTGAGGAAGTTGCCAGAGCCTGGGAAAAGCTAACAGACTGGTAGTTGCTTAGCTGTTACACAGGTTGTATAGGACTTCCATAGCACCTTGCATTTCTTCGTAATTCTCTTAACAGGGTAACATATACCTCATATGTGAAAATGTTGTACTTCCAATTTGTTTGGTTGTTTATGTTCATTTATTACATTTTTTTATTGTCAGTAAAGCATATTATTTTATCATTGCCTTCAGAGCGTGTGTCATCTAACATGCATATATTTTTCCCGTCAAAGGTCTTGAGTATTTGCACTGCTTCTCAGCTCACTAAAGACCTCAAAATAGTAGGATTCACAAATAGTAAATAGATCTGCTGGTGGGTAGGTACCTTCCACAGTCACCCCTCAGGAATTGCACACTGAGGCAGAGGACAGTTGTTTTATGGTGACTGGGCAGCTGGAATGTCAAAAATTTAATTGCTAATCAAAACAGAAAACAAATTTTAGTATGCTTTGTTACGTACTTGTGATATATTAAGCTTTAGTCTTACTACCTCATTATTCTTTTGTGAATAGTTTTCCTTTATTTTTTCTAGGGAGACAAAGTGGTACCAGAATTGAATAAGGGGTAGGAGGAGAGAGACATTTGCTACAGCAGAGCCATAAACAGCAGGCTGAGGAAAGAAGCATACAAACATAGAGTTAGGAAATTGTGCACCATCACAAAATCAATATAGCCACTCATGACTAGAAACAGAGTAAAACCAGGATAATTTCTATATGTTCAGATTATCTTTATGTCTTTAATTTAAACTCAAAGCTTGGTTAAAAGACTAAAAACAATCCCATTTGCAAACATGATTTTGAGCAAATGAGTAGCACCACTGATATAAATCAGAGCAAGGGTCATCAGTGACAATAGAAATTAAGGAGCGGTATGGCATGAACTTGGGCACTGGACTTGAATCATACTGTTGATTTGTTAAAATAGTTTCTGGCTTTGCTCTACAGCGATTAAAATCTGCAAAAAAAATCCTGTGCACAGTTGAGCTAGAGTCAGCTCAGGTTTGTTCCCAGTGAGTGGCTTGGTTGTGCTACCCTGTTTAAAACACCAGAGCGTTTAATAGAGGGGATGCGGCCAGACCCTGCCAGATGGCCTCAGGGGTAGAAAACAGGCCCTGACAATTTTAGTTATAAATTTAGATGTTGCCAGAGAGTCTCACTGACTTCAGTGGGGGCAGGGCCTCACCCACTGTATCTGACCTATATTATTTAATTTTATTTTTGCTTGTAATCATAAAGCATAGAATTATAATACTGAGGCTGTGCTGATCCAAAGCTCAAGTTCTGGAAATCTGACTTAATTCTTTTCACAGTAGGATCTTAGAAAAAGTATTTCAAAGTGATTTCCACCCTTGAGCCAGTAGGCCTGAAGCTTAAACAAGAATTTTTTTGGAGAGGAGGGCTAAGCTCTGACAGACTTTGCAACCATTAATCTAAAATCCTGTCTTATATCTGAAATACATTAATTCATAAATAACTTAAGACAAGGCATGCCTTTTCCACAAAACCTTTAGTGTGTCGTCTGAGCTTTGTAGTGGCATAAGCAGTATTTATAAATGCCTGCATTTCCTTTTAAGTAGATTTCCATAAATGTTTCTACTAATATACTGTCAGTATTTTATAACACCTCCCCACCCACCTGAATGTCTCCTCTATCACAGTGTTCAAAGTGGGGTGTGTGTAATGGCAATGCAATTTTTCTGCTTTTTGTTGACTGCTGTGATTGGTTGATTTTTGGTTTAATATAGTTTGCTCGTGTCCTCCAGTAAGCTTCCAATGGCAGAGAGGGTGAACGTTAGAAGGGAAACCCTTTCCTTCATGCTCTCATGAGAGGCAAAGAGAAGTCAGTGGTGATTTCTGTCCCTCTTTCCAATGCATGGGAAATGGACCAAAGCACTGCAAAAATGGAAGCAGGAGAGGGATGGACAGATGGACAGACTGTGCAATCTTAAAAGCCTCCTTTACTTAAGCATGCAAGATAAAAGTACGTATCACTCTTGAAATTTCATAGAGAAATTCTTCTTTCAGTGTAATTCTCTTCCTTTAAGTTGCTATTCATTGAGTTATGGCTGCTGAATAGGAAAATATTTCAAAGAAAATAATGTAAAATATATCATGTAATGATGTATTTTGTTTCTTAACCTATGCTTCAAAAATGTTTAGGTACTTTTGTATTGAAGCATGTAGAGAAGAGATTATCTTAGGTGAAGTAAAAGACCTTGTAGTAAATTTGTTAGAAAGTACAAAAGGGATTTGTGTAGCATG